CATTGCTCCAGCCCCGGGGGCACAGGGGATGGCTGGAGGGACGGGTCCTGCTTTCAGAGGGCACTGCCTGTGCCCCCAGCGCTGCAGGTAGCCGTGCCCACCGGCACAGGGCAGCGTGCTCAGGTGCCTCCCCGGGGTGAGCATGCACTTTGGCCTCTGTCTGCACCACGGCCAAGCCGGGCAGAAGCCTCCGTGCCTCCCTCGGGGAGAGCAGGAGCAAAGAGAAACCCAAATATTCCCTGGCTGGGCCAAAGGTGAAGGTAGGGACAGAGCCCGTCCCCGAGGGCCAGCTTCTGCCCCAAGCCCTACCCCAGTGGGTGCACCCACACAGACACATCCCTGCCACCTCCCCCAGACCCACAGGCCACCCCTGGCAGCCCCCCCAGGCAGACACGGGCAGCCCCGATGGCTCGGTGGCTCCTCTCCCCCCTCAGCCACCCCTTCCCCAGTCACCCCGCCACCCCCTGCCCCGCACACACCTCGCTCCAACGCCTCTTCCCCCGCCGGCACCCTGCTCCTGCCGCTTCCCCAGCTCTGCTGCCCAGCGTCAACACGCAGGGAGCGAGCGTTACGAACGCCTGCAGCTGCTGTCCCCAAAAATACCCTCTGATGACACGCCGGGGTGATAAGGCTGAGCCTGCTCCATTCAGCGCCTCGGCGGGGCAGGGCCGGCCTATGTATAGCAGCGGGCAGCGGGGCGCCACAGCACGGGGGCTCTGGGGTGCAGCACCCCCACCTGGAGCAGGAGGCAGCGCGTTGGATGGGGCGCACGGCGTGGGGACGGGATGTGCCATATGGGGTGTGGGACACACGGCTGGCAGGCTGCAGCCGGGCTGTGTGGGTGCAGACCCGAGGCCGTCCCTGCTGTCCCCGTGCCCTGGTGGTGCCGCATGCCCCCCGCCCTGCCAGCTCGGGGTGTCCGAGCCACCCGCAGCAGCAGGGTGCCCAGCCTGCCTCCCCCGTGTGCCTCCCCACGCTGGGGCCTCACAGGGCTGTGCGCACCAGCACCCTGCCCAAAATGCACTCTCAGCCTCCTGCTGTGTCCCCCCAAAAACAGCAATCTGCATCTCCCCCAGCGCGGGGGCACCCAGCAGCAGGAGCTGCAGGGCTGGTGCAGCACCCCATCCCTCCCAGCCTGCCCCCCCAGCAGCATCCCCCCTGCACCCCCCTGCCCGGGCGCCGTGCCCCCCCCAGACCACACTGTCCTTGCAGTCCTCACATTCCAGACGTCTCAGCAGCTCTCGCTGCCCAGAGATAATATTCAGGGCGAGCAGACGTTTGCGTCAGTGTCAGATACGTCTCAATGCCACCCTGCCCCGGGCGGAGCGCGGCGGGCAGATGGGCTGTGCTGGCAGGCAGCGCCCCACGGCAGAGCCCCCCGAGCCCCCCGGCCATGCTGCTCCTCCTGCACCTGCTGCCCGCCGTGCTGCCCCCCGCCGCCCTGGCCAGCTGCAGCGGGGCCGGTGCCGAGCGGCAGCTCGTCCTGGCCAAGGTGCGGGCGCGGGTGCTGGAGCACCTGAGCCCCCCCGTGCTGCAGGAGGAGCCCCAGAAGGAGGCGAGGAGGCTGCACCGCAGGGACGTGCTGGAGAACGCCGAGGTGCAGCCCGAGGAGCCGGAGGACACGTCGCAGGTGATCCTCTTCCCTTCCACAGGTGAGCCCTGCTGGGATGGAGAGGGTGGAGGCGTGCTGCGCTGGGGCATGGGGTGGGACGCTTGGGAATGGGGCAGGATGTAGGGAGATGGGGTGGGACGCTAAGGGATGGGGCAAGATGCTGCAGGATGGAGCAAGGTGCCCAGGGACGGGGCAGGACACTGGCAGAGGGGGCAGGATGCTTGGGGTTGGGGTGTAGGACAGGGTGCTGTGGGATGGGGACACGTTAACAGCATCCGATGGCACAGGGGGGCTCAGAGACCTCCCTCTGCAGCTCAGCCAACCCCATTCCTGTGGAGCACAGCCCAGCTGCTCCGGGGGGCTGAATCCCCCTGCCCCTAGGCTATGGGGTGTAGGGTGCCACAGCCGTGAGGCTGGCAGCATGGCAGGGCTGAGCAGAGCCAGGCAGAGCCATGCCGCAGGGCTGGGGCTACAGCGGGGTTGCTGGGTGGCACTAGGTGCCAGCTGCACGGTGCCAGCAGCAGGGCACCCCCCGCAACACCCCCGGATCCCTCCATGCCCCATCCCCTGCTCGAGGCACAGCACCCTGAGCCGTTTTCTCTCCCCACAGACGTGCCGTGCGAGCCCATGCAGCCGGACAAGCTGCTGGAGGAAGAAGGGATCTTCACCTACCTCTTCCAGCCCTCGGCGCACGCTCTGAGCCGCACGGTGACCTCCGCCCAGCTCTGGTTTTACACCGGCCCCTCGGCCGCCCCCAACCACTCCGCCCCCGCCGTGCTGACCCTCTCCCCGCGGGGCCGGGTGCCGGTGGCAGCCACGGTGTCCCAGACACCCGAGCACTGGACGGTGTTTGACTTCACCCCCGCCGCGCTGCCCCACCTGGTGCAGCCGCTCTTCGTGCTCCTGGTGCGCTGCCCCGGCTGCCCCTGCCTGGCTGACGGGGACAAGATGCCCTTCCTGGTGGCCACCACGCGTGCCAAGGGTGGCCAAAGAGCTCGCCGCTCCGCCATGCCCTGGTCCCCGGCCGCCCTCAGCCTGCTGCAGCGCCCGTCCGAGGACGTGGCCGCCCACACCAACTGCCGCCGGGCGTCCCTCAACATCTCCTTCGAGGAGCTGGGCTGGGACAAGTGGATCGTGCACCCCAGCAGCTTCGTTTTCCACTACTGCCACGGGAGCTGCGCCGAGGGCCACGGGCTGAGCCACCGGCTGGGCGTGCAGCTCTGCTGCGCCGCGCTGCCCGGCACCATGCGCTCGCTGCGCGTCCGCACCACCTCCGACGGCGGCTACTCCTTCAAGTACGAGACCGTGCCCAACATCCTGGCCCAGGACTGCACCTGCTGTCTAGTGCCTGGCACCCCACAAAGGGCTCCCCCTGCCCCCAGGGCCCCCACAGCCCTGCCCCAGCCCCAGATGATGATCCCATCCCAGGGGATGGAGGAGTCGCTTGCTTGGGAGCTGCACGGCCCGGGGGAGGGATGAGAAGGAGCTGGAGGGGAGGTTTCGGTGGTGCCACCCTCCCCTGCACCAGCCAGGGTTTCGTGGCTCCAGGCTGCCCTGGGTGTGTTGGCGCTGCCAGCCCTGCCCCGGGGCTGTGCCCAGCCCGCAGCAAGCCAGGGCACGGGGCTCAGGGCTGACAGCGCCTTCTGCAGAGCTGCCGGCACCATGCGTGCCCCACAGAGGCAGCCTTGTTTCTCTCCCCACCCCAAAATAAAAGACTGAGGCTGCAGAAGCGTGTCCCTGCTGCTGCAGCAGAGCACAGCCACAGGGACAGGATGGGATGGGATGGGATGGGATGGGATGGGATGGGATGGATGGGATGGGATGGGATGGGATGGGATGGGATGGGATGGGATGGGATGGGATGGGTGTGCCGGGGGCTCGCACAGGTGGCAAGGCCAGCGGCACGCGGTGCTGCGAGCAAGCCCGCTGCCAGCGGCACAGCCTGTCTGTGAGATTAGTGGGATGAGTGAATAAACCTGTTTTTACAAAAATGGCCTCAAAATGCCAGCTTCCACAAGAAACAGCAGCGTGTGGTTACACAGCGGGATGCAAACTGCCCAGAGGCTTTAGGCTGGAGGGGACAGGCGAGCTGCGGGCATCCAGCACACAGCAGCAGGGAACGGTCTGCTGAGAAGGGTCCAGCTCCAACCCAGCGTCCCGGGGAGGGAACGGGGTGAGCTGGCCAAAAACAGGGCGCAGGATGGCTGGTGGGAACGTGGGGTTTATCCAGCCGTGGGGCAGGATCCCACCCCCTCCGGCTGCGGCAGACCGGGGTGCGCGAGGAAGCCCCTGCCCCAGCCGTGCAGCACGGGCTGCCGGAGCAATCCCGCATGCCACGCCAGCACAGGCTGCCCCAGCCGAAGCCTCCCCCGCACAGCTGGAGCAACTGAGTCAGCCCAGGCCAAGCGGGGCCGGCCGGGACCCACCACGGCCCCCAGCGCCCCTTCCCTCCCCTCGGCGGCGTCAGCCGGCCCACCCCAGCCCAGCTGCGTAGGATCCCCTTCCCACCCCTTCCTCCCAGAGGACCGGATGCAGAAGTTCAGTACAAAATGTCTCCAGCCTTTACTGAATACAGATATTAAAAAAAAAAAAGAAAAAAAAAAAAGTCACAATCATCCAAGTACAAAACAACGCTACAAAATCACCGTGCTGAGATGATCAGAAATGCCCAACTGGCTCCCTGCCGACCCCGGCTCGGGCACTGCACAGCCTCACCGTGGGACAGGGATCCAGCCCCACAGAGGGCCCCCAGCCCCACAGCAGGAGGGGATCGGCTTTGGTCCAAAGAGCTGCTGGCAGGGAAGCGGAGGAGACAAGGAGGCAGGAAGGCCGGCCCCTGCCCTCTGCACACACATTCCCGGCAGGACAGCCCCAGCCACTCGTACGTACCGATGTGTGAGGGTGTCCCCACGGCTCTGCCCCTGCGGGGACAGCGTGGGCTCCCCCGGAGGGAAACCCCTGCACCTAAAAACTTCCTCGCCCCCTGGAAAGAGCAGCCTGGAAGGGGAAAGGCAAGGATGAGGCAAAGAGGGACTGGAATGTCCCCGCTGCCACCGCTGCTTCCAGCCCCGTGCCCTGCCCCGTGGGGTGGCCCGGCCAGCCGGACCCCGGGTACAGCCCCCACGCTGCAGGGATCAGTGCTGCTGCCGTGGCCTGCACGTGCTCAGCAGCAGATGCCGGCGAGCACAGGGGGCACAGGGGAAGGCACACGTGGGAGATGGGGTGCGGGAGAGGGAAAATGGGGAGAAATGGGAGACGGGGAGGGGAGGTGCAGGCCTAGAGTGGGTTTCACTAAGGGAGTATAAAAATGCCAGGGTGCACACTGCTGAGTTTATAAAAATGTACAAAAATAAGATATTCCCTTTGTTAAAAAAATTAAGAACAGTGAAGGAAGGTTCCCCGAGCCCCAGTCCCCATAGCTGCCCGCTGGGACAGGGATGCCCCAGCCCCATGGGACAGACGCACGTCGCTGTCCCGAGCCAGCAGCATCATCCGACCGTCCGATCCTGCTGTCCTCCGCACTCACAGCCCTGCAGGAACAAGAGGAGGGTTAGCAGCCGTGCCTGGGGGTGCCCCGCCACCCCACAGCTCCATCCCGTCCCGTCCCATCCCCTCCGGCTCACCCGTGGTCCTCTCGCAGACGCTGCCGCCCTTCTCGTGGGCCAGGTTGAGGCGGTTCTGCTCGGCGGCGATGCCGTTGGCCTCGGGGCTGCTGCTGCGAGAGGGGCTGGGGGGCTGCGGGGGTGGCTGGAGGTGGAAAGCCATCTCCAGGTGCTCCTGTGCCATGCGCAGGTGCTTGCGCAGCCGCTCCAGCTCGTGCTCGGGGGGAGCGCCGGCCAGGGCGAAGCGCTCCTGCCGCCGAGTTGGCCAGGTTCTCCCTGTAGTCCAGCTTGCCGTCGGGCAGGGGGGACTTCAGTGTCTCCTTCTTCAGCGAGTGGTAGGTGGGGGGCGCGCTGGGGGCTTTCTTGGCGTACTGTGGCGTGGGGCTGCCGCCGGGTGGGTGCGGGGGGCCAGCGGTCTGGCCGAGGGCGTCACGGATGCGCCCCACGCCGAGGTGCAGGAGCTCGCAGAGGTTGAGGAAGAGGCAGAGCCCGCTGACCGCGTACATGATGAGCAGGAAGATGGTCTTCTCGGTGGGGCGGGAGACGAAGCAGTCGACGGTGTGCGGGCAGGGGCTGCGGCTGCAGACGTAGGACGGGCTGACCTCGAAGCGGTACAGCAGGTACTGCCCGAAGAGGAACGCCATCTCCAGCAGCGAGCGGCACAGCAGGTGCAGCACGTAGGCGCGCATCAGCCCGTCCTGCTTGATGCGACGCCGGCCGTCGTGCTTCTCCCCGCCCTCCGTGCTCTTCTCCTTCTCCACCTCGATCTCCTCGAAGATCATGGGGTCCTCTTCGTTATCGTCCTCCGCCTCCTCGTAGTCCCGCCCGGCCCCCCGCCTCACCACCGGCATGCGTCCCCGCGGGGCCACCGGCTGCCCGGCGCCGCGAGGACTCGGGCATGCGGGCGATGCGGTGCATGGCGAAGCCCAGGTAGAGCACCGAGGGGGTGGCCACCATGATGATCTGGAAGATCCAGAAGCGAACGTGGGAGAGCGGGGCGAAGGCGTCGTAGCACACGTTCTCGCAGCCGGGCTGCTGCGTGTTGCAGACAAACTTGCTCTGCTCGTCGTAGTAGATGGACTCGCCCCCCACGGCCGTCAGCACGATCCGGAAGACGATGAGGACGCTGAGCCAGATCTTGCCCACGAAGGTCGAGTGGTTGTTGATCTCCTCCAGGAGCCGCGTCAGGAAGCTCCAGCTCATCCTGACCAGGCAGTTGGCTCAAACCCTGCAGGAAAGGGCAGGCAGTAAGGCACGGAACAAACCGCAGCGCACCTCATCCAGCCCTTCCGAACCGGCGTTCTTCACCCCGTTGCTGACACCCTTTCCCCTTCCCCTGCCATCCGGGCGGTGCTGAGCGGGGAGCACCCGGCAGCGCCCAGCGCCTCCTCCCCGCGCTGCCGCCAGCCAGGGGAGTAGGGGAAAAGCCAGGACACTCACCGGCCCTTACAGGACACATCTGGGGGAAGAGTCAGCAGGGCCAGGGTAAATGAGGGAGCCTGGCAGGGCCAGGAGGCGGGCGAGGGGCAGCTGCCCCCACCCCAGCCTGCTTGCCACCTGCTCCGGGGCAGGTCCCCGGGCGTGCCGCACCCTGTGGCACGGGCACGGTGAGGGAAGCAGAGCGCGGGGAAGGAGGGCGATGGCACAGGGCAGCACGGGGTGGATGGGCAATTGCAAAAAGTCCCAGAGAAGCCACTGGCAGCGGGGCTCGGGGAGGAAACCTGGAGGAAGGCAAGCCAGCGTGCGCCCAAAGGCGTGAGAGGAGGCACCCACCGCCCCAGAGCAGTGCCCTGGGCTGAGGCACGGGAGGCAGGTGGCAGGGGTGGCTGGGGGCAGCAGGGGGGCAGCAGCAGGGGGGGCAGCAGAGGGGACAGCAGAGGGGGCAGCAGTGGGGATGTGTCCCCAGCCCCGGACAGCCCCTCTCCCCCCAGCAGCCCTCTGCCTCCATTGTTCTGCTCCCCGCCCTCCGCCACAGCCGGGGGGCTGCGTGGCCGCTCGCAGCGCCCTCCCCACGGCGACCCCAGCCCGAGCCCTCGCCCCTCGCCCCCTCTCGCTCCCCGCTGCCCCCCCAGCCCCCCGCCGCCCCACTCACGGCGCTGCGGGCCGAGGCGCACAAAGCGGCGGCGCTGCCGCCTCCCGCCGAACAAAGGGGCCCGGGGCCGCCCCGCCCCGCGCCCGCCCGCCCGCCGCCGCTCCGGGCCCCCCCTTCACCGCCCGCTTCGCTACCGGCTCCCCCCCGCCCGCCCTGCCCGTGGGGAGCAGCAGGGCTGAGGGCAGGCAGCACGGGGGCTCTGCCACGGGGCACGGCGTGCCCGGGGACCCCCGGCTCTCCAGAGGTTGGGGGGTGCTTCCCCCTCCCCCCCCAGCCACCTCCCCGCTTTGGGGCACCCCACGCACCCCGCACCTCGTGCTTCGTCTCCCCTGCCAAAATTGTCCCCTCGAGGTTTTTGTCAGGCTGGGGATCCCCGCGTCCCGGGCAGAGCAGCCCCGCTCCTTGTGCAAGGCTGCGTGAGGTTGTGAAAGGGCACTTCTCCCTGCCAGAGACCGCTTTTGGGGTTATTTTGGGCCCGCTGAGTAACAGTGGCCTTGTCACTTCCGTGCCCTAAGTCAGCAAGAGCCACGGCAGCACAGCCCTGGGAATGGGGAGAAGGGGGAGAACGCAATCCAGGGATGTGGGGAAACACCGCAGGTTGGGAGGGACCCGCAGGCAGCGCCTGCCCCCAGTGGTTGTGGCCTCGTTGGTGCCACAGGCACCTGCTGACGGGGTCCCCGAGCCGCGGTCACCACCACAGGGAGCTGCTGGCTGCCAGGGCGGGCTGGGGATGCCCCAAGGCCAGCGCCAGCCCTGCCTCATGCCAGGCATCACCATGCCTGCCTCCACAGCCATCAGCTTCACAGCCCTCCCGTTTCCCCCTGTGGCGGTGTCACCAGGCCTTAGCCTCCATGCGTGCTTGTGGCATCGGAGCCAGAGGCATCGCCCATTCCCCCAGGGCAGAGGGCAAAACCACAAGAGCCAGGAAGGCAGCGGGTGAAGGGCGCTGCCCACCACATCCCTCCCCACATCAGCTGAGGCTGACAGGGCCGGGCCCCCCTCGGGCAGGAAGGATGTGCGAGAGCGGGGTCCGGCTCACGAGGAAGCAGGAGCTCAGTCACCGACCACAAAACCAGGATCAGCCCCAAGCCAGCACATCTGCAGGGCAAAGCCTGCCCTTGGAGCAAGAGCATGGCCTGCAGAGCCGTTGGGGTGATAGCGGCTGGGGGGAGCTCAGAGGAGGCTGTGAGCACAGGGATAAGGAGAGCTCCGGCCATGGGGACAGTGCCTGCCGCTGTGAGAAGCCCCAAGGCTCATGGAAACGGCACCGTGCTGGGTGCTCAGCCAGGCGGAGGCACCCTCTGGGACTCAGCCACCACCAGGCCGTGCCTCGGGGTGCCCAGCATCGCCAGCAGCCCCGTTTGCCCGTCTGGGCCCTGCTGTGTCAGCCTCTGCTCCTGCTGGCGGGGCAGCTGCCCCCGTGTTTGCTGCAGGTGGGAGAGGAGCCCGCCTGTCTGGCGGTGGCGCGGGGCGAGCCAGCTCCGCCTGCTTGGCACTGGGCTGCACGCATCCTGTCCCCGCGGCAAATATGCTCTTCCCCGATTAGACAGCACTGGCACTGGGACAGGGAGCAGACGGCTCCATTAGGGATTGTTTGTCCTGATACGGGACAGCCCCACAACCCCTTTAGTAGCCTTTTGATAAGGGGCGGAGGCACGCTCCATCAGAGGCACAAAGGGCAATGAACAGGCTCCACGCCACAAGCTGGTGCTGAGGGAAGGCTGAGACCATTCGAAATACGTCTCCTTCCCTTTCTGCTGGCTTCATTATGAGGCACAACAGCGGGTATATGGCACCATGCTCACCTGCCAGGCTCTTCTCCCTGGTTCTGGGCACTGCCCGCACCCCGTGGCACTCACACCAAGCTCGCAATCCCAGAACATCCCGAGCTGGAGGGCACCCACAGGGATGATCAAGTCCAGCTCCTGGACTTATGCTTGCTGCTGCCCCCCTGCCCTACAAGCTGTAGGGCAGCCCCATGGGAAAGGCCCTGCCAGCAGCGGGGCACGCGTGCCCTTTGCTGTCACATCTCCCTGTCCCACAGGGGCTGGAGCTGAGGCCGGCAGGGAGGGCCTGCTGGAAGCAAACAGGCAGTCCCTCCTGTCACGCAGCTTGATAAGAAACAAGGCTACTTGAGATAGATACAGCATGAGGAGCTGACAGGCAACCCACAGGATACGTATGCTCACGGCACAGCTGCTTTAGAGGGCAGAGAGCAGGAAGTGATTCTGCGAGTCTCTAAGTGCCTAAAGACTCAAACCCAGGCTGAGACATCATCCTTATCAAGGTAAGGCAGGACCAGTTTTAACCCCAGGGAAGCAGGGTGGTAGCTCCAGGCTAGCAGCAATATCCAGCCTATAGCCTGAGCCTCGTGGCTCCCTGGAGCCTGTTTCCACAGAGCCCTGGAGTCCAGCAGCAAGGAACAGAGGCCACCCCCGGTCCTTGGCACCCCTCCGGAGCAGCCTGCTCAGGTGGGGAAAAGCAGAGATTCAGGCAGTGCTAGAGGCTGAGTACTGGAGCCAAGTACACACAGAAAAGGAGATAGGAAGGGTGGGAAGAAAACTGGTGTCTAAGACAAGGGACTGCGTGCTCAAAGCTGTGACAAGCAGCAGACGTCTGCAGCTGGTTCACCAGATGTCACACCTTTGTAAACCTTGGCTCACCAGCACAGCCCCTCTTCTCACACAAGGCTGGAGTGCAGGAGGACGTGGGGCGAGCCCCTGCACACACCCCGTGGGTGCAGTGAGAGCAGTTATCCCACCACTAGTTACAGCCTTGCACAGACAAGGCAAAGAGCAGGAGCAAATAGGAGCAGTTACTTCTATGGTAAAACAAAGAAACAGCTTGAGAAGAGCTACGGGCAGGCAAACAGCTGAAAGCTTTGGTTCTGGCAATGCACACTTTGTCAGGCCCCTCAACACGTACCCAGGTGCAGCTCCGAGGATGGAAAAAGCAAGCTGGGGGTGAGCTGTGTCAGATCAGCTGGTACAGAGGAGATGTCAACAAGCTGGTCCAGTAACTCCAATTTTCACTCTTGCCCTTTTTGAAAAATGCAACTATGGAAGGGGAAGAGTGCGCTTACACCAGCTCCTTAAATGGCAAGATGAAGGCAGAAGAATCTTACTGGTCTTTACTGGCTCAGCTCTGAGACTCCTTGCCCCAGACAAAGCGCTAGGTGCTGGCAGTGCTTTCACTGAGCTCACTGCTTCCCAGCCTGAGATCACTCCAAAGGAACGGAGAGCAGCAGCCATATGCCCATTTAGGAAGCGGGGACACAAGGGAATGTGTTGTGACATCTGCCTCAAGACAGTATAGATCTTGTCAACCCTGTCTATAGAAGGCTAGATAAAAACATTGGCCAGTGTAGGCCTTCAGCAATTTAACTGCTTCTCGAAGTGACAGGAGAAAGGCTAGTAATAAGGAGATTCCAAGAAGGCGCCCAACAGTGCGCTGTGAGGTAGCCCTTAGACCACTATGAAGTACAGAAACTGAACTTCCCCCTCCCCTAAGGCTCTGAGGATGGTATAGCTGGGCGGGTTGCAGCCTTGTCCCTCGGCCAGCCCCAGAACTGTCTCCTGAAGTAGATGATGATGCATGACCAGAGGACTTAGAGCACTACAGGGGCAGGTATTCACACCTCCACAGCCACGGCTGCAACAGCTCCTGCAAGATTCAGTACAGCCAGTAAGCAACTTGCTGAGGTGGGAGCACAAAGATAATAACCACCCTAAGGAGGATGGGGGGAATGGCTGTGGGATCTTAGGGACTGCTTGAGGCTGCTGTACAGCTAGTATGCAAGACATTACAAGGACAGTATAGCAAGACAAGAAAAACCATGGTGATTCAATAAATATAACCTTTTATTACAATAGAAAAAAGTAAAACTCATGTTTAAAATAGACTCTTGCTTTTGGACTGCTCAGAAAAGCCTAAGCCTCACTTTTACCTGCCAGTGCCCACAAGGGTCCTGACCCCTGAGCGATGAGCAACACAACTGTGCTGTGAGCTGCACAGCTCCTCCCTCCCCCGTGACAGTGAAGGACTACAGCAGCAGACTGAGCCATGCCCTGCCACGCAGGTGTGGGCTCTCTGTGGGGTTATCAGTACAATGTGCCTTATCCCTCTGTGCAATAGGCTCCTGACTGAAGCAGGCAGCTTTAGGGAAGCTGTGGATAAGAGGGCAGGGGGAGAAAGAAAAAGAAAGAAAATATTAGCAGCAGATAATAGCAGCTGTTCCGAGACAGCTGGGAAGGCAGCAAATACACCTGCTGCAGAGACCACAGTGTGCACTGCCTCTGGCCTGCTGATTGCCTGAGTACCACAGAACATGCTCTGGCTCAGCTCCCTTCTTCCTCCAGTCACCTTTCGGACTATCCTGAAGGAAACTAGCAGACACCACCAAGTTAAAACCCTGTAGCTTGCAGCATTACAGGGAACACCCTCCACCACCTCCTTCCACGGCCAGCCCAGTGGCAGTGAGTGACTGTACAAAGCCTGGACCATCGTGTGCTCACCTCCTCCTCACCAGAAAGGGCCAGGGGCAAGAGTAGGGTAGAAGGCAGAGGCCACGGGACAGCAAGGTCAGATGGGAGGGGAGACATTTGTGCGTCACTGCCAGCACAGCAGCGCTTCTGGCTCCAGGTCCTGCCTGCCTACAGCGGACAGGCTCACTCCAGGCCCTCATACACAGCCCTCCGCAGCTCGATAGAGAACATCTCCTCCCAGGGCCCGCGGATCCACTCCACCAGCTCTACCAGGAGCTCAGGGCACTCGGTGCGGATGTGCCACGTGCTCTCCACCTTCAGCACCTAGAAAGGAGGAAAGAGAGAGGTACATGAGCAGGTACATGAACATGATCAGAGCCTCAAAGGCACTGATCAGCCCCGAGCTGCCACTCCCCAGTGCCACAGCCAGCTCTTCCCATTTTTTTTTTCCAGTTTTTAAGTGATATGCTCCTCTCCCTCTGCTGCCAGATGTGAGAGCATCCCTGCATGACTTCTGCACATCAGCATTTCTCTGTGCTCCCCTGCCTCCATGGTGCAAGGCCCTGGGTTAGGATGGGAGATGACAGCCCCAATATGCTCTTGGCAGGAACAGGATCCGAGCACAACCCAGCCCTCAACATCTCGTGTGCCCCATGACCTCCTTTTGGTTACCTCATCATACAGCATCAGCTTGATGTCGCAAGGACACAGGCGATAGGTTATGACATTGCTGATACTGCTGATCGGCTGCTTCTCCTTCAAGTGGATATTGCTCCTGGAAGGCATTTCTGCCTCACGATCTGCATCCAAAGGAGGCTGCACCTGCCACTGGTGATTCTCCTCCAGCAGAAACAACATGCTTCGGGTGCTCAGCAGGGTCACAGGGAAAGCAGATGCCCCTAAAAGGATACAAGGGAATATGAGAGGCTTTGCTCGGAGCCTGAGTCACCATAAAACAAGCTTTGCTTTCCATTCCTTCCCTGGGGAAACCCTTTCCAGCAACAGTAACAGGGTGACCAGCTTAATGCAGCTTCTAGACTAAAGGCAGAGAGCAGGGTAGTAAATAGATGTACCTGGGCTTGACCAAGCTCATTCCTCGAGCATACATATGAAAGACCATCACCCAGCCAGCTTTTTCTAAGCAATATCCTCATGTGAGGCAGGAAAAGGAACTGAGGTCCTTTGACCTCATAAACACCACCACTATTCCTTATTTAAGTCAGCAGCTCCAGCTAAAAGGCCACCCTTTTTGGCCTTGATTTGCCTGGCTGCAGATCTGATGGACAGAACACAGCATAAATAAAGTTTAAGATGTGTTCCATCTCGGTAGTAAGTACAGCAGAAAGCAGGAGAGTTTTGATAAACTAGAGGGAGCATAAATATCATCCAGCTGACTTCAGTGGATGCAAATAAGAAGCACTAGAATAAGTCAGCAGCACAGAAGTAGGGAACCACTAGCTGAGGTCACAGGGATCACAAGCTGCTACAGCAACATGTTGTTTTTCTTGACACATCTCACTCTTGGGAATTAGCAGGAATATCAGAGATGGCATGTTTAATTAGTCCTGTCTACTTGGCAGCGAGGCCTCAGCTGGAACTGTGTCCGGTTCTGGGTGCTGTACTCTAAAAAAGGAGAAAAACGTACTTTAAGCTCTCCCTCCCACCCTCAGATACCACATTTGGACCTCAGCAAAACCTGGCACAGAACTTGGTGGACTCCAGCAGGCTCTTCTTGTCCTGCTGGCGAGGGGTTCAGACACCTGCTTCTGTTCTCCCAAAACAGCGACCCTTTCAGCTCCCACACACTAACCAGCTATGTGTGTGACCCCTCAAGCTCGTGGCAATAACACAGCCCCTGGATCACTTCCAGCTTCTCAGAAGCTGTTCTGAGTTTTCACCAAACCTGGTGTTCAAGACCAAATGTCTGTGAGACTCTGTCCCATATCTCAACGCTAAAAAAAAACCCTTACCCTTACCCATGCCCCTGCCCCATCTCGCTGATGGAGCCATGTTCACACTCTATACTAAGAGCTCAAGCATGTAAGCAGAGAGCACAGTGTGGGAAATCTGGCCATGGAGATCTCCTGTACCTTGGATCAGGTATGCCAGCAGGTAGAAGAAGCAAGTGCCATCTGCAGCTGCAGAACCTGTGGTCTTGGAGTCCAGCAGAGGCCTGTAGGAGATACAACAGTGTGGCACTGAAGGAAGAGCACTGTTCCCAGTCTAGGTTTGCTGTGAGCTACTTTTTGCTGTCTACTCGAGGAGAGGAGGGACCCATCTCTCACAGTTTTTCCAAAATACCTCTCTCCCCTCCTATTTTTTCTGCCCACCACCTTGCTAACTAGGAACCCAATGCTCCCCACAAAGAGGGAGACAGCCCTGTGGCTCCCCCTTTTCCACCTTCTGTTGTGTTCTGCTCAGGTTCCTCCATGCCAGCTGGAGCTGCAGCCCCTCTGCAGCAGGCACCTGAGCTGGCTGCCATGAACCTAGCTCCCAGGCCTGGCTGCCACTCGAGCGGTGCCTCCTGCTGCCCTGTTCTGAGCACTGCATTTCCCTGCTAGGGCTGGACACGCGCCCTTTTCCATCCAAACCCCCACCTCAGAGGCTGCTCTTACCATAGCCAATGTTGTGGATTCATTTCCACAGTGGGGATTTCCTTCACCTTATTGCTGTGCTTGGCAGGCAGCTCTTGTATGAGACCTAAAGAGGGGTAGAAGGCAGATGACTTATTGCAAGCCCACGGGCAGTACATAACAGCTCAGGAAAGTTCTTCAAGTTTATAAGAGAGATATTGGAAGGTATGATGCCAGCAGGGTTCTCCCCCAATTTCTTTCTGAGCTGGCAAGAAATGAATTTGCCATGTACACGCAGCTACGGATCTCCTAGTAGCTCTTCTAGAGAAAAATCCTCACCCTCCCCTCTGCTACAGCTCTACTCTTACATGTCAGGGTCTGCAGAAACTGGTCACAGCAGCTTTGGTTCCGGATCAGCAGGTTGTAGGAGGCTTTGGGGTTCTCAAACTCTATTCGCAAGCTCTGGTGGCAGAGTCCCACTTCCAGATGGGAAACATCGGACAGGTAGTGAGAGTCGTTCTTCTTCAGCCACTCCGCAGGCTGTCCCCTAAGCACAGAGCACAGCCCTGAGCTGCAGCAGGCTGCCCCATCTCCCACCTCGGATTGCAGCAGGGGGGTTTAAACCAGCAGAGCCTTCACATGTCACCACACCTGCAGGGTAAGGCTAGCAAAGGCTGGCACCACCCAGCGCTCACAGCCTTGCTGCAGGGTCTCACTGCCACCGCTCTCCTCACCTGATAACCCCAGTGACTTCCAGCACATAGATCCTGAGGTCAGAGGCAACCAGGATGGAGAGGAACTCTCCTTGTCGGCCGAACTTCACCATGGCCACCTAGAGCACAGAGAAGGCAGTGACAGCGCTGGCCTGCTCCTTGCCTGCCCACCCACGGACAAGACTAACCCAGGCATGCTGCAGCTCCCTTCAGACTCCAGTCTCCAGATGCCACCCCCGAGCAGAACGTGCAGGGTAACGAGGACAGCCAAGGAGCAGGGCTGTAGGATTGGTGCTGCAGGAGCTCACCTTGAGGAAGCACTGGAACTCCTCATCGTTCTCCTCAAAAACCTCCATGTCCAGGTAGAGCTTCAGGCGGTGATCCACAGAACGAAAGTCCCTTGTGTTCAGGGCGCCGTTTGCAGCTGAGGAGAGCAAAGGGTGGCATCAGCACGCTTCCCACTGACCAGAAGCTGCACAAAGCATCAGACTGGCACTAGGGCAGCAGCATCACTGCTGCACACCCGCCTCCATCAAGCCTCTCCTCTATACAAGGGGCTAGAACTAGTGCTTCCCAGGCCACAGGTCTCAATACTGAAACGAGGGGATTCCAACACTGACACCTGCCCTTTCAGGTGCATGAGGCTTTTCATACTAATACCCAAGCAAAAGCAGTCTCTGCCTGCATGTACAGACCTCCCATTAACTGCTGTCTTGCAGGACAGGCCTCACAGCCAGCACAGTCTCTTCTTTTGGACAAGCTTTGTCGTCTGAGCTCACAAAACCCACTGGGAAGAACACAAGTGTCTGTAAAACCACTAACCACAGCCTCCTATAAACATGCTAGCCTCACACCAGGCTTAGGACAGAACCTACAATCAGAAACTGACTACTGTTCTCCAGCGGTGATGCTCCAGCTGGCAGCCTACTAGTGCCTCCGGGACCCAAGTGACTGGTGTCACAGAGCTCCCGCAGCAAGATCCAATTACTCAGTGTGAGCGATACTCGGGATTAGGAGCTGACTCAGTTTTCCCTACCTTCAGGCATGAGAGCTGAACAGAGGGGCATGAAGCACCCAGCTCACAAGAATCCATCACTGCTGCTCGTGTTTGATGATCTCCTCCCACACGAAGCAGGAGGCAGTGCAGCCAGCAAGCACCAGCACTCAACACCCCTAAACCCCGCACAGCTCTGACATACTCACGGGGACTGAGGTTCCACGTTTCCTCTGACTCGGAGTTCAGAGAGAGCTGGGAAGGAGTGGGCCCGCGAGAAACGCTGTAATGATAGCTCCCCATCATGCTGCCCCCGTTGGTGTCCGTGCGGCTGAGGGAGAAGTGCTGGCTCTTCATGCTCAGCTCCTTACTCCCACAGACCCCGTCCAAACTGCGGGAAGCGGAATGGAGAGTGCCGTCGTGCTCGCCACTCAGCTCCGGGGTCCTGGTGCTGTTGCTGGTATCCACCTCCGAGCTGTCCTCCCCACCGATGTAGAACTTCCCACTCTCACTGGCCAGAGCAGGTGCTTCCTCTGGGCCCTCCTGCTGGCTGCCCCCTTCCAGGAGGGAGTTTGACAGGTCCTCACTTGTGCCATCACGGCTGGGAGGCAGGGGCGTGCTGGAGCATACCTCCGAAGGCAGGATGACCACATGGTCACTGGAACAGCTGGGACAGGCGATGGGCTCACCACCTGCTGCAGCGTCTGTGGAAGATTTCAGAAGGGATACAGAAAAACACAGCACAGCTCTCATGCAACAAGATTCTCCTTTCCTCTTAACCTCTGCAAACCACAAGCAACCCCTTTCAAAGCAGGCTTTTAAAGCTAGTTAGGTATAGCATGACCTAAGAAGCTTGTTGAGCAGCTCTATTCAGAACCTATATCTGACTCACCTCCCCTTGGCAAATCTATGAGAAATTCTAGATCAGTGTCAGCATCCACCCAAAACAGCCATGTTCGGAACTAGGGTGACCAGGGTGACTGCAGCTGAAACTGGAACTACCATCGGTTCTTTGACTCACCTCTTTCTTCCACTTCACCTCCACAAATGCTCACATTGCCTTTGAAGCCCCAACTCACACTCAGTTAATCCAACCATTCTTAGTCACCTCCATCCCAAATTGGTTTATCCTCAGCCAGCCAACCTACAAGCCCACTGTGTCCGTTCTCCAGCTGTCCTCATCCCTCCTGACCCCAATTCCTGAAGCTCACTTCACCCACACCACAGTCTGAGCTGGATCCTGGAACTCCCACTATCTCAGGGGGAAGAAGAACATGATAAAGGAAAGTGCAGCCACCAGGACAGCACCTCTGCCCTCACTGCAAAGTTCTCCAATCTCAGGATACTTCCACATACTAGAAGCATCTTCCAAGCTAACACTCCTCTGACACTTCAGATAAAACCTGAGCTTTGAAAAACTCAGCAATCAGAAGATGCTTATTCAGCACTAGCAATGCCTCAGCCAAAATACCACATCTAATTTCAAACAGCCAAAGAAAAATGCGGACAAGTGGGGAAGAGTACAGAGGAGACCAGCAAGAATAACTGGATTGTACGAGATATGAGTGACAAGCAAATTATCTAGGGAGTTGAGCTTATTTAGTCTAGTGGACAGAACACAGGACTAGCTGTGGGGGGAGAACAGCCCTCCAGTACAAAAAAAGAAATAAATCACTCCCCATAAGGGAAGCAAGAGCAAGCTCAAGATTACAGCTAGGAAGACTTAGGTTGGGGTTGTTCTGATATCTAACAGCCAAAGTTGTATCTGAAGTATTGGAGCAGATTCACCAAAAACCTCCATTAGCAAAGGTGTTTTAGAACAAACTAGTCTCTGTGCCAGAACTGGCCATGGATTCAACAGGATGAGACACAACACCACCTTTAAGGCCTCTTCCAGACTTCTGCAGACCACTTGGCAGTTTCCAGCACCCCTAATTTTCTCCTAGACCCAAAGCGTCCTACAGTAGTTGGGTGGCACTTGATTAACAGTAAGAGAGTGACTTATTCCTGCTGGTGAAGGAGGCAGGCTCTTCCCTAGCCCAGTCCCAGTGGGCTGACAGTACATTCCACACCAGGCTGTAATTCCAGTACAACCAAGGCATCACCTTCTGTACATTCTATGCTCTGCACCACAGCTGCCATCCTGGTAGTCTGCTCGGGCACTAGGGAGTATCCTTTCTCCATGGACTACAACCTACCTTGATTTGAGGCAACTAGGGTCTCCAGGCTTTTGGTGTCTCCAACTTGTGCAGGATAAGGACCTTGCTGCCAGGGAGACAGGGACTGCAAAAACTCATGCTTGCATTTCAGGCACTGGAGCCTCATGGATCCTTTCTCCTGGTCCTGATTTTGCCGATTCTCTTCCACAGCTGGGGACAACACTTCAAGCACACACTAGAAGTAGCAAGACAGGGAAAGAGCGTTAGCAGGCAATACAACTGTCCTTCTTCGGGGACATGCAACAGTTTGACTACTAGAACTCAGCAGGCCTTTTCCCAATGAGAGAAAACTGCAAGGTTTTCCCCTTGAGAGCACCCTTTATGCTCCAGGAGATCTGCTGCTCATGGCCACGCGCACAGGGCCCCCCACAGGTCATTTGTGCAGAAAGAGATCCTGAGCTTACAAGCAAGGCATAGGCTACCTAGATAGTTACAGGAGAGTAGATGTACGTGTGCTCTAAGAACAGAGGCTCTGTGCTGGCAGATAGAATCCAGTATCTTCCAGGAAAATTGTCCACCTCCCCATGCTTCTTCCCAGCCCCTCCAACCTGCAGACACTGCTCTGGGCAGTCATCCAGCACCACGTATTTGCGCTTCTGCCGGTCCTTCCGAATGTAGCTGAAGTGCAATGTGAGGACAGGGAAAACTCGCTCCAGGTCCTGCAGGAGACAGAAAACACCAGTTCCAGAAAGATGGCGCAGCATCCAGACTGTATTTGTTTGCACGTGTTGGAAATGTGGACATACAAGTACTTAATTCAGTGAGCCTGGAACAGTCCTCCCAGAAAAACCCTGATAGCATTTGGTAAAACAGGAAAAAAAAGTTCATATGTGCTAGGTACAACTGTAAATTACAAGGCCCAGAATGAAGCACCTCAAATCAAGCCACAAACATTCAAGAGGTAGAAGGGTAGGAAGAAAAAAAAAGTTTGAGCTTTTGGGGAACAACATTAGAGAAGCCTGTGATCAAGTTCATGCACATATTTCATATTCTTAAAACCCTACTGTGAAAAAGAAAGGTTTCTATGCTCCCTTTCTAAAAGGCCACAAAAGCAAAACAGGGCTGCTAGCAATAAAACACACATCTAGCATGGATAGAGAGCTGCCCACTGAGCTGCCAGTAGCTTTCCAAATGTCACATTAGACTCAGTGCTGCGCTGTCCAAGAAAAAGTACAATCCACAAATAGCTCTGCAAGGCCAGGATGATATCCCGGTAAGGAATGGATAGGAAAGTTCTCCTTCATTTGATTTAGGCTCCCCTCATGAAGTCTCTTATTCCTGTCACTGGGACAAGTCTTTTTAACCCCAGCTTTGGAACAGAACTGGTGCTGACTTCTGCTGCATTATCACAGATACTGTAAACAATACTGATGCTGTTAGGTACATACGTATAGGGTGGAACAAATGATCAATCAGGCTTTGCAGGCATTAGGAAAACACATGCGGGGTACTCTAGCAAAAGTCAAAATCCAAAATGTTGACCCATACAGGGAGTAAGAAGCCAAAGGCTCACACAGAGACATGACTCACCATCCTCTTCCAGTTCATCTCAGAGGTCTCTATCTTCTGCAGGCATTTCAGTTCCAGCTTGTGGAGGACTCTGGCAGCCTTCAGTTCCACCTCGATCACATGCCTAGCTGTGACCCGCAGGAAGATCCAGTCTAACTCCGGGTCCCCTTCACCTTCTATTTGGCTCACCAGCACTGGCTGGCAAAGGTCCACTGCCAAACAAGACACAGCACAAGTCAATACACACAGCAGGCCTTCAGACCTGCTTGAACAAAACCTTTAGAAGTCCCACATTGCGGGGCAGCACGGTAAAGCTTCAGGGATGCCACAATCAACCCACCTATTCTACCACCACCCAACCCCTTGCACAAGGCAGTGAAGACCCATTTACCTTCTGGCTTCTCATCTTCTTCTTCCCCCAGCATTAGCTCATCTGCCTCCTCTTTTCCTCTCAGCTCTCCTCCCCCATGCTCATCCACTTCAAGGTCTTCCTCCTTCTGAGTATCATCTACAGCAGGAGAGGATTCTTTTGGGGATACTTGGGGTTTTACTTGCTCTGCTTCAACATTCTCACTCTGCAAGTCTGCTGCTGCAGGTCTGCCTGAGATCTCATCTGCAGAACGGCTCCGGCAGATGACAGGTAGTTGGTCACGCTCCTCCAGTCTCTTGTACTGCAGCCAGTCAACACCGAAGCGATCTCTGAAGCTGTCCATGCGTTCCATCTCCTTCTGATGCTGTAAAACCAGGCCTGCAGAGAGAAAGCTTGGGAAGTATGAAAATAGTCACCACGCCAGAGCACCCCTCTGACTGCAGGCAGTTCAGCTGCTGTGTTACTGAGAAAGAAGACAAGCCTCACCAGCAGAGAGAGGCAAAGTCTGGGACTCATGTTCCGTGTCACTGGGCTCTGAAATGCTCGCTCTGCGCACTTTGACTTTCCCCTGGAATAAACAGGATAAGAATAGTTGGGAGGCAACAGAACAACCAAAACAGCATCTGATCACAGCCTCCTCTGACAAGCCAAAGGACTCATGGCTGTTACAGCGCAGAAGCACACCATGAAATATTTGTTACAGCACATCAAGACTGACTTTAAACCGAGCCCCTTCCTAACACAGAGCAGTGTAGAGACTCAGTACAAAACCACATCCCACAGCATGGGGCGTCCATGCTGCTGCAGCCCCCTCACCCAACATGCCAGCTACATGGCTAAGCAGCTGTCTCAGTCCCAGACCTTGCACTTCTTCCGAGGGAGCCTGACAGCCACATTCTCTGCTGGGGACTGGCTGTCACTGAAGTCTGCAGCACAGGAACTGTCCAGAGCACTGCGGTCCAGCACGGTCCTCTCTGAGGTAGATGTGTGGATGGACTGGGATACACTTTGCACAAGTTTTGGAAGGTGCTGCATCCAAAAGAAGAGAAAGCTGTCTACTGAGTGTGAAGGGGAGACACAGTAACCAGGACACAATTCAGGCTAACAATTTCCCTGCCCCTCACCCCAAACTTCCACCATCTCAGCAGAAGCAGTGACAACAGATCCTACCCGGTTGATTGGACCATTTATTGTGGCTGCTCCAATTTAACTCAACCCCTGTGTCCCTTAAAAACAGCAGATGGGATGTTGAAAAACATTTGTTTTGCTAAAATGTAATTCAAGTGTCAAGTGCCAGATAGTACGTGAAAGGGAAAGCGGCAAGGCTCCAAATTCAGCAAGGGTACTTAGGACAGAATAAGTTACACCAACAGTCCCAGCAATTACTAGGAGTCAGCACGGACTGAGCCAAAACAAACTGCTTCATAGGGAAAAGGCAGCCAATACAGATTTTATGGGACACATGAGGATGCAAGAACCTGTCAGACTTCTCACTCCCAAAGGCAGTAAGATCAGTTTACAGTGATTGTACTTACCATTAGGTCCGAGGAAGAGAGTGGTTCTCCATCCAAGAGGAACTGTAATTAGAGACCCATTTGCAGTCAGATTCCACTTGGCTGGCACATATTCAGGACAACATCTACTGACTCTGTTTCCCTTCAGGTCATCATAGGGTTGGGATCCTTGGCACAAAATTGCAAAGATTTCCAGAAACAGCGCTGTTCCTGCCTATCCATTGGGCCTTTACCTGTAGCTACTTAAGAGCATATAAGACCAGAAGGGACTCTTGTGGTTTTCCTGTTTACAGACCTTTTAACTCCCAGAAACGTATCCAAGAAGGTTTGCAGAAGAGATCTGATAGATTCTTCTGCAAGAACTCAAATTGTTGTGGTAGCTACTCACTTCTTCCTCAAGGTTGGTACCCTACTTCTGATTTGAGTCTACCTAGCTTCCAGTAACTGGAGCTCACTGAAAGCTTGTTCCAATTTGCAGTTTGATGACAATGAATCTAGCAATTTGCTGCTAACATAAATGACAGACCAGCTCTGGAACACCTCTGACCCCTTAGCAAGCCGATTTACTTTGCTAAATTGCCAGAACACTGTCTTTGCTGGCTTCATTATTTAAAATCAGATTACCAAGAACTGACTTAAGCAGCAGAGCACAAAGACAAGAGTGATGACACCTAACTGAGAGCAGAGGAATGTGGGGAAAGAAAGAGGTGGTCATGGCTGTCAATAGAGTACGTAATTAGGCAAGGTAGGCTGAGACCCTGAGTTTCTTTTTGCAGAGTCCAGCTACGTAGTTACTATCTGGCAGAACAGAGGAAAGTTTTGGAAACTTCGGTGAGCAAAATTGATGAAGTAGACAGGGAAGAAATCTTAAGAAATCTTAAGAAATCTTGCAAATCTGAGATCAATATTCATCTGTGCCTGCCTTGGCCAGCACACCTTACAAAAACGTAAGGTTATTAAGATTACCCTACCTAAAACAAACAAAAAACAAACAACCACACACACCACAGAACCACTGAAACTGGTTTTCAGGTTTACAAAATTCTTTCCACTCATTTGCCCATGAACACTGGAATACCCCACACCTTCAGCAAGCACTGGCAGAAGGTCTGTGGCTGATACTCACATTGGAGGAAGCTGCTCTGGGAGACAAATGTACAAGGGTTGCAGACCGGTGGTTTTGATGGAACCATAATGGGTTTCCCTCTAGGTGCAGCTGGGTGGAGGAAATAGAGAAATAGTTATTAGAGAGAAACACGCTATACCTTGATTTAATCTCCCTGGAGGTTCCGGGATTTCTCTCTGCCTCAGGAAATATCTTTGTAGTGGAGTGCTGATCAACCCAGGAGAGGACTACATTTTCACAATACTTCCTGAAATTTGTTCAGCAAATGCAGAATGAAATTAAAGTATTTTCTACTCAAGTCCCTAAATCATCACAAGCCTCTTCAATACTGACTCTGAGAAGTCTTGGGAGAACAATCCTTTGTAGGCTATTTTCCTTCACAGACACTATGGTGACTGTAGTTATCCTCCTTCAGACTTCTCCAAATGCTACAAATCCACAAAAGCATTAGGAGAGGATCCTCATTGAACTTGGTGTTAAAATTGGAAAGCGTGAAAAAAGGATGTGGGAATAAGTATACAGACAAATGAACAGGGGTCAGAGAAAACAAAGACTAAAATGCATGTGTCTCTCCAAAGTTCCCCATCAGCTTTCCTTGTTAAAATTAAATGCTCAAGAGTTGAATTTATCTTCCAAAACTCTCTTCTTATCACACAGTCTCTCCTCTGCACTCTTCCAGCCCACAACATCTCCGATCCACCAACTCACCAGGTTTTGTGCTTACTTTTTTTAGATAGTGCAGAGTGGACAATGGTGCCAACTGGGCATGCTCCAGCAGCAGGTTATAGGCCACATCCAGGTGCTGCAGATTCACCAGCTGTTCAACCCCTGCAAACAAAGCAAGAAGCCATCAGCATAATTGAAGACATGACTTAGAAAACTTTCCCCTGTCCCTCTCCCCCAGAATGGAACCCTTGTAAAAATAGCTGTGCCCAAGATTTCAAGTTCCACTCCTCCTTGAGGAAGAGAAAGATGTCAGACTCAAGTGTTCCCCCACTGCTCGCTCACCATTAATGCTGTCAAGTTCATTGTTGCGCAAGATCAGAGTCACCAGCTTGGATCGGCTGAAGATGCCAAGGTTTGGCACTTTGGACAGGAAGTTATAAGCCAGATTGAGGTACTCAAGTTCTGTAAGGGTCTGTTTAGAGAGAAAAGCAGCACTGGATCAACCGAGACCTGAACTACAGACAGAGCACTCGTCCCTGCCATTCTCTCCATCCCACCAAGGCCACTTAAAAATTGATTTTCTTCAGACTACTTCTGCATCAAGACTTCAATGTTCACATTTGGAGTGGTATGTCTAGAGGTGCTCTAAGTGCTTTTAAAAAAAAATTGTTAGGAGCAGCTTTTCCCTTCCCCAGTAATTTTAATGCACCATAGATAGGGACTGGACACCCTGCCTCAGGCAAAGAGCTGAACTTGCTACCAAAAGAAGCCCTTCCCTACTTTTGGGAAGACAATGGTGAAGGACATATTTTGGGCCTTACCAACTCTGTGAAAAGCTGTTTCATAGCTTCTCTTAAAAGAGGCATATCCAGCCCAGCAGAGTCTAGATTTCAGTGCCTTTCCCCAGAGACCCAGACATCACTGTGATGGATTACCACCTCTCTAAATTAACTGACAGGAGATTTCCAAGAGCAAGAAAAAATTGCTAGTGGCTGCCTGGATAAACCAAACAACAAATCTCGACAGTGCCTGGCTACCTCATTCTCACCTGCTGCACAGATTACAGCAAAGCATCACCAACACTGAATAGCAGCCAAGTGATACGCACGGCGATGCGCATAGCAGAGGTGCCTGTCTCAGAGCGATGAGGCACGCTGCCTTCCCTGCCTCACCAGGACAGGGGCTGCACGTACAGGGAAACAGTTTCAAGGTTGCAAGCACCTGCTCTAAATCACACGCCCGTTGGACCGTGTCTCCAATCTCCTGCGTTATACTTCGCTTAGCAGGCTCACACTGACCTAGCAGGTCAATGATCGCAGCACTTCAGCAGTGTCCTCTCCCTGCAAGGAAACTGGTGCTCAGCCCCAGATACTCACTGTTAAATAGAGCTCGCAATCCTGGACCTTGTTATGGCTCAAATCCAAGACTCTCAGAGCATTTAGTAATTGCTGGGGGATGAAAAGACACAAGATCAGATCCTACGAATGTCTTCACTGCAGCATGGAAACCCTGTCCTGCTGGGAGAGGCTAGCAAAATTAACATTGCTCACTCCCTCCCACCCAGACCCAGCAGCATCAGTCAAGCAGTGGCCAATTTCTGGCCGTGATCATCTCTCTTCCACCCAGTCACGCAGGAAGGATGCCCCACTCACCAGTGAGTCATCCAAGGCAGTGATGGAGTTGTAGCTGAAGTTGACGGTATGCAGTTCCAGCCAGGGGAGAGCACAGCTCAGATCTCCACCACATGCTGAAATGATTTCCTAGGAAGAAGCGAGGAGCCGTTCCTTGGTTCGTACTGACTGTTACCGTAACAGCAGATGAACAAAGGGGAACAGCTAGTCTAGAACAGGGATGGCATATTGTGCCTCACAGACCCTGGAATGGATCAGCGACTTAGAAGTCATTGCCAAGTATTTGGAGGTGGTGGAAATTCCATGACTAGATATGCTGAAAGGAGATGCTCTTGCTTCCTACACACAAGTGGCAATAGTTAACCTAATGGTTACAAGTTGGAGACTGAAAACTAAGCACAGAGACTCATCTGCACAGAGACTCATCCTAACAAAAACTTTTTCAGACCTTCATCAAAGCACCCAGCAATAAGACACACATGTTCTGGTCAAACAACTCATGCTTTGGCAGGCAGAAGAATCTCTCAAGGCACTCCCTGTCAGCAGCCACTGTTCCCCAGCAGGCAGCTGCTTCCATGCCAGACAGAAGCCCAGAGCCCCACTGCTAACACAACCCACACTATTAGCTCTTTGTGGTTGGAGCTTCGCGTCCCAGAGACCTGCTGGGCACAAATGCTAGTTAAGATGCTGGGACACAGCAATTCTCCCTTACAATCAGCTCTAACTTACAATTGCTAAGGTGCAACCAAATAAACCTTTATCAGCTGCAGGACTTTGAATGGAGAAACGGGTAAACACAGAGCAGTGAGACTTCACAGATACAAATATTGGCTGGAGCCAGAAATCCTCAAGCAGCTAAAGAGGAGACTACCGAGCACATAATTAACAGGGAACATTTCTACAGTATTTGAGTCAGGGGTAGGACCCCAGAACGGGGAAGGTAGAAAAAAACATACAGAATATGGATTGAGAAGGTGGTTAACATGGCCCGTCTGGGTCCTACAACCCATCAGGTAGGGAAGATAACGGATGCATTCTCCTGTGTAGCTCCCCACGGGCTGCAGAGACACTCACCTCCAGTGTGCTGATACATTTGCAACAGGTTAAAGACTCCAGCTGAGAATAGACAAATCGCAGACCCCGCAGGCAGTGTGGAGGGACAGACCTCAACTGCAGCAGTGATGAGAAAGTAAGGACAACGTACATCAGCACATTACAGTGCAAGAGCAGCTGCCATCCCATATCCATCTTTATAAGAGATCTCCCATTTCCCTCCTGGAGCCTCCCTCCCCAGCACTCTAGCCATCGTTCACACCCAGCTTTACCCCAAGCAGATGTTGCAGGAGTTTAGACTTCCCCTGGTAGGAAGGCCACAAAAGCCTACCCAGTTTTTAGGAGTAGAGGCATTCTGCAACCACAAAACTAAGTAAAGAACAGCCAAACAGCAAGGCTCAGAGCCCATTCAGCCTCTTGTACTTACTTCCAAATGCCGGAGGGACTTGAAAGGGAAGATCTTCACAGTAGATTGCAAAACACAGTTTGGAACATGAATGAGCTAGAAAAATCAGAAAAGAAGGCTCTTATTAATCTCAGTTTGTGAAGCAATAGCGCTGCCCTGATGCGCCAACTGCAGCACCATGAACAGACTGCTTCTCCAGCTCAGGTGTTAACTAACAGAGCCTGTTATTTAACATCCCTTAATGCTCTCCGTGCTGCCATCTGCACTCTCGCAGTCCCATGGTTCAATAAAGGTCAAACAGAAAAGCATGCTAGCTAGCACAAGACTGCCAGACCATTCATCTCCATTTCTTCTCCTTTGCTCATGTGGCATCACCACTGTCAGAGCCACAGGGAGATCTGACAGCCGGGTTCCTCATCAGCCACCACTAACTAAATAAAGACAAATCTAGCCGCTGGAGCTATGTTTATCAAGCAGCTGAGCTGAACCAGCACAGTGGTGGGAGGTGTGCACGTGCGTTTCACTAAAACAAGCCAAATAAGGCAAGTCACAAGCAGATACAATGGAAAATAGAGCTGGTCTCCAAGACACAGTTAACATTAGGCTGAGGTAGCTGCAAACGTCCTCTTTGCATTTTGCAGGGCAGCCGCAGGCTCTTTCACCATGGGGTAAGTAAGACTGTGCTCATATGCCACAGAGCTTACGAAACCCAGCTCCTTATGCCTTCTGTGGACGCTGCATAAGCAGGGGTTCAGACAAAGCGGTGATGAAGCAGGTAACGCTCCCACTGCAGAGTACAACCGGAGAGCCCATCTCTGCCAGCCACACGCGCAGAAGTGACTCATCAGGTGCAGAACAGACGTCCCAAGGCCTCCTCACCGCTTCCACAGCCACAGCCACGGCAGTGATGAATCACTGCCCTGCTTCTGCCAGCACTAATGCAGCACGTTGAGCAGGGCCATTCGCAGGGGAAGCCTGTTCTGGGAAGCTCTGATGGTCAGTTTTAACAACGCGTGTGTCAGACGCCAGCCTCGCTCTGTGTCTTGACAACTTCATTGTCTCCTTCTCTCCTCTCTCTTTCCACTGTCTGAAGAATCTGAGCAGGCTGCTACAAATTATTAGTTTCCCCATGCAAATCGGTTCCTGCGCCGCAAGGAGCAGCTTCCCCTCTGTTTTGGGCCTGTTACAGAAGGAGCCCATTACTTGGCTAACACGAGCACTCACCACAGCAGCCTCCTGACTGCAACATCTTCCCCTTCCTCGTCCTGTCAGGGGACCTGCACAGGCTCTGGGCCCCCACTCACAGCCTCAGCGCAGTTTTACGATCTCCCACAGCACTCAGATAGCGGTCTGGTAAAAACACTTTTAAGGACACCGCAGGCTGCAGTGCTAAAAGTTTGCAGGCCCAGCCGCAGCACCTCCTGAGCACTGCTGTGGGCTGAGCTACCAGCGGGGGGCCAGAGGGCTGAGCTGCTGTGCCCAAACCCCCCTGACTGAAGCATTTGGGGAAGGAACCCTTCGCCTCCCGGGCCGCACCTTGAGGGATCGCGTCTTCTGCAGGACGTCGAAGAGGAACTGCGCCTGCAGCACGGCGGCCGTCTCGGCGGGGTGCGAGGGCAGCGCCACGAAGCCGCGGGCCTGCTCGCGGGGGCCCAGCAGCTGCTCCAGCAGCCGCGTCAGGTGCTGCAGGGTGCCGGCCGGCAGCGTCAGCGTGCTCGAGCCCTCCAGCACCACGTCCCCTGCGGGCGACAACGGGACGGGGACGGGGACAGCGGGGCCGTCAGCGCCGCCGGAGGGGAGAGCTCGGGGGTTCAGGGGAAGGGGGGGGGGGCGCTCACCCACCGGCGTCGCGCAGCAGCAGCGCCAGGCCGCGCACCGCCGCCTCCGCCATGGGCAGGGGCAGAGGGCAGGGGGCAGGGCCCGGGGCCGTCCCGCTGCCGGTGCCGGTGCCGCCGCCGCTGCCTCCGCCGCGCTTCCGCCCCGGCCGCGCCCTTCCGCCGCGCCTGCAGCGCCACCGCTTACATCCGGTTGCCATGGAGCCCGCCCCGGCGTCCCCCGCCCCGCAGAGGGACGGGAGGGGACGGCAGGGAGGGGACGGCAGGGAGGGGACGGCAGGGAGGGGAGGGGGGCGCCGCCGCCGCCGCTACCGGCCCCGGGGGGGGGGAGCCCCGCGCCGCCGCAGCCCGAGCCGCGAGCGGGGGCGGCACAAAGCGGGCGGCGGGCGGCGGGCAGCAGCAGCGCCGCCTGCCCGGGACCCGCACCGAGCTCTCCTCCTCCTCCTCCTCCTCCTCCTCCTCCGGCGGTGCGAGGTAGGGGCCCCGCGGGGCCGTCTGTCCGTCTGTCCGGGTGTGTGTGTGTGTGTCCGTGTGTCCGGGACCCTGTGCCGCGCTGCCCCCCGGGCTCGGCCCCTCGCTGTTCCGCCCTCGCCCCCTCCCCGTGCCGCTGTGACAGACAGACAGGCAGACAGACAGACGGAACCCGGACGGGTTCAATCTCGTCCCAAAAGTTTCCGTCCCTTTCTGCCCGTGCCTGCGCCCCACCGCTGGCTCTCCTCCCCTCCCAGCACCAGCTCCCTGCCTGGACACCCCATGGCTAAAGGGTCCCCAGCCTGGCTGCTGGAGCTAAGGGAATAAATGAGAGGTTTCCCTGCTCACCCCCGTGTGTGGGACGGCCGGCTGCAGCTCTCTGCCCAAACTCAACCTGCCGAGGGGCAGCGGGGGCTGCTCGCCTCGCCCCTGCTCAGCGGGATGGCACAGCTCCATCAGCACGCTGCTGCGAACCGGCCCTGGGGACCTGGGAGCCCTGCTGCATGCATGGCAGCAACATGTGGCCCTCGGGAGATCCCTTCGCTGCTGGCATCGCGGGACGTGCCTGCCCGGTTTCCTCCCGCCTGCCTTTAGCCTAGGACGTGGGTGCAAGCTGGGTGAGCGCCTGCGCTGTTTGCTGCTGCCCAAGGCTGCGTTCGGAGGGAGAGCCCCCGCAGGAATTGGCATGAGTGAGGGCAACGCACTCATGGAGAGAGAAGGAAGGTGCGGGCACGCACCAGCCAGCGGTCTGTGGATTGTTTTCCTGGCCTCCCTTCAAATCTGGCCTGCTGGTGTTATGCTTCTGTTGCTGAAAATTACTTCTAGCGGGAATGCTGAATCACGTACTCCTGACACGCGTGAGATAGAGTAGGATGGAGGTATCATTCATTCAGCTTTCTTTCGGTGTATTGGTTTTTAGCCCCCTTTTGTCTTGTGTTCTTCTCGTGACAGCCCAGGCAGCGATCCCAGCGGGCTGGGTGGTTCAGCATGATGCTTATTAGCAGAATTCTCCCTGATGTTCTTTTTAAATTTCTCTTTTAAATTTTAACCCATTTCTGAATCTCTCTGTGTGGGTCCGCCTGAAAAAAAATAATCTTCATTTGTGTTTTACACCCCTGAGATCCTTCCAGACTGCTGGCACGTCCCCTCCCCATCTTAGTCATCCCATCTTGCGCTAGACAAATTTAGCTGCTAACCTTTCCTCATAAATCAATCCCCCTGGCCTACTGGCAATTCCTGTTGCTCTTCCCTGAACTCCTTCTGTTGCAGGTAATAGAAAATGCCAGGCTGGATCCGAGGCGATGTCTGGCCAGCCTTCCTATGACAGGTTGCACCAGGCGCTGCAGAGTAAGGGGCAAGTGGCCTCTAGTGGCCAGCCACCAAGGAGTGCACCGAATCAGTGCTCCGAACAGCAGCGCTCAGCACTTGGCATCCTCAGAATCCCCTCAGTGCTGGAAGTGATTTGTAGTGTTACCAGTCCTTAAACAGATTTCCAGACAGCAAGGCTGTGCTGCAGCTCCCGGGGGCTGTCCGGCACCTTTGGGATGCCAGGTGCCCCGTGGGCAGCACGTCTGCCCTGGGAAGGGATTACTGCCTTCGGAGGAGCATCTGTGCAGCATTTGCACACAGGCTTGGTTTTTCCTGGGGGGATAAATAGGGAGCCAAAAAAGCTCGTGTAGTCTCAGTGTGCCCGTTAAATGTGTTATTACAGTGTTAGGATGGGAAGAGGACATAGGAGACCTTGTATGGTTCAGATCCCAACACGTGCTGGGGGCTGCCATGCCTCACCTCCCGCTTCCACAGGATGAGCGGGGATGGGGGGAAACCCCCGCACACCACATAGTCCCCCTGAAATCTCAAAGCGGGTCCCAAGGGCTTCCTTGTTTTACTGCTAGTACAGCTGTCTCGCTTTTAGCTGCTCAGCAGAGTCATTAGAGTGACATATTTTCAGCATGTTTGAGAATACGCCGCTTGGTTGGGTAAAGAGAGACTAAGCGTTGGATTTTCCAACCCTTTTAACTTCATTTAGGCAGTCAGGCTGGAGCTGTAAACTCAGCGTCATGTTTTGCAAAGACCATGCCAGAAGAGCTCGTCGCATCCAGCAGGTCTCCTGCCTGTGGGTTTCCTCCCACCCCGATCTTGAATGCCCCTGTCAGCCTTTGCGTAGCTTCAGAGCAACCTGCGGCCGACCTGGAACAACGCACATTGTTTTCCAACCTTGCTGGTAGTTTGCAGTTTCCATTCAAGGTCCCATAAGATGCATTAGTGGCAGAGAGGTGGAGCTGAGCGTTGGTATTTTTTATTGTTAAATTACCATTATCCTTTTGCTAGTTTTTAGGGATTCTAACACTAGCAGAACTGCCTTTCAAAGCTGTGAAGTAGTAGTACTTGTAGCACGTTTTTGCCGGCAGTCCTCTCTGCTGTGGCTGTGGATGTGGATGTTATGTTCCTCTCAAATCCCCAGCCCCTTTTTTTTAATGCGCACGATGCCTTGGCCCTGAGGGACTGCAGAGCCAGGGTCCACCTGCCAGCTCTTCTCACTGTAATAAAGTGTTCCCTTCCTTCAGTTTCAAATTTGCTGCTGTTTGATTTCATGGAATGATACCCTTTTTCTGAGTTAAAAGCGAAAGGAAATAAAAGACATGTATTACCCTTCTCCCTATCTTGTCTCCTACCAAAAAAGCAGCTCAGTCTCCTCTTACAGCTCATTTCCAGACCTTTCTCCTTTTTCTGTTTTTTCTCTCTGAACCCTTTTGCTCCATCTGTCTTGGAAAACAGAGTGGAAACCTGAAGATTACACCTTAAAGTAGGAGCCTTAACAGATCTGCAGAGTGAATTGGGTATTTTCATTGTTTCACCCTGTTCCTTATGGTTTGGACTCTCCATTTCCTTGTCTTGGCAGCGTATTTCTCTTGAGCTGCTCAGGTCTCACAGAAGGGTTCAGTTACTGTAGATTTCAGTCCGGTATGTTTGAGGAATTTCATCCACTAAGTTTTGCCTTTTTCATGATAATTAGGATGGTGATGTTCAAAGGGAGGAAAAGAACAGCAATAATCCCAGGTTATTCACCATAAGTTGTAATTGTCCTATCCCCATCCACGTAGCTGTGTTAGTGCCTCCAGTATTCCTCATGTTTAACAAAATTTGGTCTTTTCACACTTGTTCTCCCTGTCTGGTACTGAGCAAACATTGCATGTGGAGTCCTCCTGATACCACAGGAAGGAACTGTTGTCATTCATGCCTGCAAGGCCTGGGTGTGCAGCCCCAAAATCGCGCTCTAGCTGTTTGCAGCCCTATCCTATTGCAGCATGTCACTTGTAGCTGTACTGCTTCTGGCACTGCTCAATAGTTTGTTCATTTGCATGACTGCATCCTGAGATAGCAGCTAAATCTATAAAAATGGTTTGAGAGAAGGTGGCTAGGACCAAGAGAACGTGCTTCATCAGTGATGACATTAGCTCCTCAAGAAGTTGCCTTAGAGATCGCCCCAGAATTTTTTGGCTTCATAAATGTGTGCCTTTGGGTAGGCAGGATAAGCAGAGCCTGCAGTAGCACCTTCTGAAGATCTTCAGAGATAGGAGGAGGGGTGATGAAGTGGCCTTACTGGTGTCACCTTTAGACCATCTGTTTTAGTGTCGTGTCTTGAATAGGGCCCCTGTGAGGTACTTCAGATGAGATGGTAAGAAATGCCTTAGCAGATCTCCAGGCTGTGTCCTGCACTCCTCTACTACTTCTTCCAAAGCTTCATAGCTACAGAATAGCTCGTTCTGAAAGATGTGCTTTGTAATAAATATGACTTGGTACCCAGAGAGATGCCCAAGCTGTCCTCTAATTTTGCAGTATTTTTCTCCCTAATGACATCAATGAAAAAAAATCTTCTCTTTTGCCAATTTTCTATTAATTTGTATTCTTCCCTTGCAGTTTTAACGAATGTCCCTTTTCTTGCTCCGTGAAATGAGAACACTTTGCTTAGCCATCCCTCTGCCCAAACTACTGTGGATGTGCGTGCACCTTCTGTCTGCCTCTGTATGAGTTCAGATGAGTTTTCAGAGGCCCAGATCGTCCCCGTGCCAGTCTCTGACCCATCTCCAGCTCTCCCTGATGTGACAGCAGACGGGGCAGCCCATGCTGAGCTCAGCCTGCCCTGTTGCTGTAGATAAGACATGACTGTAGCTGTTTCTGTGTTACTCTCAATCCCATTCCTTATGACCTGTGGAACCTCGTTGCCTCCTTCCCTTGCAATTGAACGCTGAGCAGAGCGCTCCCTCGGGCTGCCCACGGGGTTATCGGTCCCTTAACCACGCTGGTGCAGGCAGTGCACATCTCTGCGGTCTGGGTGGACCTCTTCCCCCGTAACACGTATTGCTTTGTGTCTGTTGTATGAATGCAGAACTGTTTGTCCTCGTGCCGTCTCTCTGCCCTGCATGGATCTTTCTGAGGCTCCTCGTGGCTGTTTTGGGGCCTGCCCGTTTTTAAGGCTATGTGGCACAGGACTGCTCCGCGCTGCCTGCTGCTGGCATGCCCCCTCAGCACCTTGCCTCTCCCATTTTACCCTTGCCCGCTGCTCAGCCATGCTCCAGCTTTGCCCAGATGTGCTGGTAGGGAGGTGACTGAGCAGGAAACCTTCCCTTCCCTGGCACAGCACGGCTCGGAGCAGCGCCTCGCTCGGAGGAGGACAGGGAGGTGTCAGGGCCTCCCCTGGCCT